CCCCTCACCCGGACCAACGCGTGGACCAGAGCACCCAGCAGTACGGCAGGCGTACACACCAGCACATCCACACGCCTCAGCATCTCCCGCCACCGCTCCGGCCCCCATGAGCTCGGGGAGCTGTCCCCCCCCAGGTAGGCCACCCGCAGCAGAGAGCCGCCTCCGCCGGCCGCACCAGCAGATCTGGATCCAGATCTGGATCCAGCATTGTGGGGCTTACAGGCCTTTTTGGATTTCGGTGGTGAGGCCAAGGCGCCGGCAACCGCCACGTCGCAGCAGCTGGTAGTCGGTTGGGCAGTAGCAGTCGCAGAGGGTGTGTGTGCTGCTATTGCTACTGCCGCTTCGGTATTTTCGGTTATTGGGTCGCACGGCGGCGAGGTGGCCGCCGCAGACTCGCTTTCCCTGTACGGCGCCCGGGGGTTTCTACCGGACCGGGAGGGGCCTGGGGCTCCCCCGGGTGCGGGTGCGGGTGTGGGGAGGCCGGAGGTGGGGACACTCGCCAGCACCTCGGCTTGCTGCGGCGTGCGTGGCAAAGGGATGGGGTTGGGTGGGGCGGGGAATTCATTTCGGTTTGGGAACTAACACAGGACGAGCATGTTCAAGCTTAAAGGTTTCCACCAAGGCGGGGGGTGCTTGCTTAGCTTTATTTTTAAATTTCGCAAAGCGCGGGAAGGGTGCAGCGATTAACCTGTGCGGTCCCCACTCCAGGCTGCTATATCTGCCTTCAGCAGCCAACCCGAACCCCTGCCCGCTGGGATGCATCGGGTAACGAATTGTTGTTGCAAACCGGTTCACGGCAAAGAACACTACAGCAGCAGCAGCAGTAGTAACACTGCCGCGGGACCCCACCGCCGCGCCGTTTTCAGGATAGCGTTTTGGGTTGCAGTACAATACGACAGATGACAGGGCCGTGGCCCGTCACAGTAGACACCCAATCCCCGGGGCTGCGGCCGCTGTAGGGACCTGGCCGGGTGGTTGGTTGGTTGGGTTAGTTGCCGGTTCCCCCTCCCGGTTGTTGACCATGACGTGCTTCTCCGCCATCCTCGCCTTGAGAGAGCCAACATAGATTGTGCACAAACGATTGGATCGACACGCGTGGCGTGCCGTACGATAACGTGCTACTCGTTGTCGTACCTGCCGCACAAGTGGCACCGAAGGGGCTAAAACTACCGCCACCTGACCCTCCCTTCGAAGCGAAGGCAGCTCACGGGATATGAGCTCCAGGGCGATGCGGGTCTTGCCCATGCCTGCAGGCGGCGCACAATGAGAGGAGGGTGTTCTCAGGGGTGAGTATTAATGTTCGATAAGCATCCGTACAGCACGATGATGAGTAGCACTAAACGCAAATGTATAGTGATTGCCTAGTGCCCGATGTATGAGTTGAGAGTGTCGTTCGACAAACCCATTGCACTGGCGACTTGATTGCGCGCACCGCGATAGTGTCATTCCCGCAAGTTCGATCTCACCTGTCTCCAGATATACGATGCTGTCATCTTTCGCAGCTGCCTGCAGTAGATCCCGCTGATAGCCTCGCAGCGGCGGCAAGGGAGCCACCGGGACGACTGGAAACTTCATGATCGAGCTAGACCTTAAATAAAGTCAATCGTATCCTATGTAAGAATAAGGGGGACTTCGAACGATTATGGAAAAAAAGGTTGGCGAAGCCAGCGGCCGGTCAAGCCCGAAAGCCACAAGTGTAGTGAAGCATTGATAGTTTGCCAGGACTAGCCGGAACTTGCAAAGCTTGTGCTGCTGATTATTCACAACTTTAGAGACACCGGACCCGTAACACCTTTAGGTAACGACTGTGACACTTTTTTTACGGGCGCACAATCTGCAAAATGTGAGCCATTCCTTACGCGTAAAGGCACTACCGGCATGTGAGCCCGACAGACCTACAAACCGTCCAAAGTCCAAGGCGATACCGCCAACCTGCCGACAACTGTTTCCGTTGACGCTACGACGCCTGGCTGTGAAGCGCCTATTTTATGTATGATTTGGGCCTATTCAGGGGTGAAAGCCAAAGCACTTTCTTCTGGAATTATGCAGTTTGCACGTTTTAGCGGCGATGTCTGGCGAATGGCGAATGCCCAGCGAACCCCGTATACCCTACAAAATATGTTGCTATAGGTTGCTGCGATGATAGGAAACCGTCTCAGTAACAAATGCGCTTCGGGATCTTCGTCACCGCTATGGTTGTAAGCCTCGCTATGGTTAGTAAAACATTCATGCACTGCGCCGCGTGGCAGTCTTCACACTTTTCAACAAAACTGTCAATGAGACAATGCCAGATTTTATACACATAATTGCGAAACTCCAGCCAAAGACATTTCCTTCTGTGAGTTTAACATGTACATAATTTGAAATGTGGCAGGAGCGCAGTATTGTCTTTGACGGCATTCCAAAACGAAAATAGTTATCATTACGCTGTGTACTTTCTGCATCGACGAACTCGAAAAACAAGAGTTCGGGCAGATGTTGCAAATCCTGGCCAAGGACAGCCGATGTGAGAACGGACATTCCCAGCTCCCCTATACTCATCCACTGGCGACAAACCCACCAGCTCTCTTAAGTAGAGCCAGATAGGACCAATCAATTTGACATCCAGCTCCCCCCATCACTCCGTCAGCTCCCTTGTAAGTCCCCCCCACCGTTCTCGAGCTCATCTTCCCCCTCCTTTCCGCCGCACCCTCCTCCCCCCAAGACCCCGACTCTCCCCTCCCCCTCCCCAACCATCCTTCTCTGCGCATCTGCCCCTTGAGCTCAAATTCCCCGATGTCCACTCCCTGCCCCTGAGTCATCCTCCCACGTGCTGCTGTTGTTGTACCCTAAGTTGCTTCACTTCTTTTCCGGAGGGGGCGACCTCCCTGCTCCTCCCTGCTCCGCCACGGATCACGTAACAAGAGGAGAGTTCGGCTCTGCAGAACCTGGGGGCGATTTGAACAGCCACCGACATTCTCAAACAGCCCCCAGACTGCGCCTCCGGACGGCTCCACTGCCTCCAAGTATTACCTACCTACATACCTACCTACCCACCTTCCAGGGCAGCAAGCAGCCCCTCCACCGCCTGAAAGGAGCCGTTCATACACACATACATACACACATACATACACACGCACATGTATTATCCACCTCGTGCATATCATCGATAATGCATGTACGTGAGTACGGCAGCTGCGCAAGCGCTGGGGTCCACCGGGTAGGAGTTGGGCGGGTGGGTGATGGCGGTGTGTGTGGGGGGGGAGACGGAACTAGGCGTGTGTGTATGGGGGGATGTAATTAGGCGTGTGTGTGTGTGGTGGTGGTGGGTAATTAGGTGTGTGTGTGTGCGTGTGTGTGTGTGTGTATGTGTGTGTGTGTGCGGCGGCCGAGGAGGCGGTAGGCGGGATAGGGTATTCTCGTCCCCGGCTTCTTCAGGTTGATGATTAGGTGGTGGACACAAGCGGCTGGGCACTGTACGGCACATTCACAGCTTAATCCCCCTTGACCCGCAAACCGAGGTTACCCCGCCCAACAGCAACACATCGCAGATGCTAGGATTCCCGAGCATACACCCACATACACTTAAAACCCTAAAACCCTGAACGCCCAAACCCAAAACCCTAAAACCCCTGTACCCGAATCTGCATCTCTTTCCCCTCTCCCCCACCTGCAGGTGCCCCCGCAGGTGCCCCAGTACGGAAAAGCCCACCAGGTTGGTCCACCGGGTTGCCTGATCAGGATGGGGTGCAGTACACGGGTGTACGGGTAGGCGGCGGGGCGCAGCGGAGGAAGCCAAGGAATGGATGAGGGGCCGAAAGGGGCCGAACAGGGATGGGCTGGTGAGGGAAGCTGTGGGTACCACGAGGAATGGGTTTGTACGACACGGAGAGGTGGCACGACACGGGCCGTCAGGACACGCGGGTGGGTGGAGTGCAGGCGGGGTGAAAGGGGGAGATAGCCGGGGGACCTGACATTAACATGCCGTACTAGGCGTCTGTGTTGTCGTACCTGGATGTTATTGTGGGCCGTACCCACCAGGGCGCCGCCGAAGCTCACATCCACTCGCCGCCACGGCAGCCGCCCCAGCCGCCCCAGAGCGAAGGCGACCACCTGCCGTACAATACGTGCCATGAAGTCATATGGGCGGCAGTAGCAGCCGCAGTAGCAGCCGCAGGAGGCCCAAACACCATGCGAACAGAAGCTACCAGGCCCTCGGACTGAGTGGAATGTGAATGTGAATGTGAATGTGAATGTGTGCCGTTAACAGATCTATTTACAAAACCTCTAGAAGGAAACCCGAAGTAAAACCCTGCACACCTGCTGGGGTGACTCCGCCTGCCCCTCCAGGGCCACAACGTCCAGCAACTGCCCACCACCTCCACCCCCACCTCCGCCAGCACCAGCACTATTGGAATCGGGGCTAGAAGAGGAGAAGCCGATGCCCGCGTCGGGGGGGTCCTCTCGTACGACACCACGGCCATGTCGTACAATATCGGGTGGAATGCAGGGCAGGTCATCTGTGGCCCGTAAGGTAGCGTTTGTCCAGCTGACCCTGTCGTACATCGTACATCGGGCGCCCAGGTCTCACATACAATCATACATATATACATACATACATGCTAGCATGCCGCGCGGCCCAGCGAGTCAGGTTCCCCACCACCTCCCCGCACCGACTGCACTTGTAGTCCGCACTGACCGGCTGTTTACGGCAGCTACGAGGAGGGTGACTCAGCGCGATGTACGACACAGGCCACCCATACCCCAACAGCCCAACAAACCTTCAGGTGCCGTACCCTTTCACGTGCTAAGCGGCCACAAAGCAGCGCTCCAGCAGGTAGGCCCCTCATCACGGTCCACTGAACCCCCCTCCATTTCCCCCTCCTGCCCGCTGCCCCGGGCCCCGGACTGAGGAACCCCCTCCCCCTCAACCCAAGGAGGGGTGTATACCGGCCCTTCCCGCCCTGTCCTAACCCGCCCTGCCATAAGCCCCCGGCCACCCGCACCAGTGGTCCCCGCCCACATTGCCGTAGCAAGCGCGAGAGGCGAAGGCGGCCAGGGCGGAGAGGAAGTACTGACCCCTTCGTCAATACCGTTGCAGGTTGGCCGTTGGCGGTTGGGAAACCAGCAACGGTGCATACAGACACGGGTGGGAGTCCAGGGTGGCAAGGGCAGGCGGAAAGGGAAGGGGAGGGGAGGGGAGAGGGGAAGGGGA